GACGACTTTTTTGAAGCTAGCTCCAGTTCCACTAAACATTCATACTCAAAACAATCTCTCCCCACCAAGCCCCACATTCACCCAATGGATATTCAGATGGCAATTTTTCATTGTGTAGATGATTTTACCAGGCAATATATTTTGGCCAAACTTGCCATTTGCCAATTTGCCCTCCCCCTTGTAGTGCCTAATCCTTGCAATTCTCAGATTGAATTCTCCCTCTGGTCTCTCAGAAAAATCAGGAGAAGTTGGAAAAGTTGGCAGCAAGGCAGGAAATCACCAAATGGGAAGAAGAACAGTTACAGGAATCAGCAGATGTGTTGTGTCTCTACCCCCATTGTGTCCTTCATCAGAGTTGGGGATGGCTTCTCTGCTTCCAAATCTCAGATCATGAACTGTCTTCTTGGTAAAAGTAAAAACAATATGTTTTTTCACCGCCACTGCAGAGGAAGCACAAAAGACTGTCTCTTGATGGAGGGTGTGGTGGAAGTCAGCTGGTTCTGTCCTGGGGGTGATGATGGGGACAGATTTGACAACTGTGTGACCTTCACCAATCTTCATGGAGATGCAAAGGAGCATAAGCAGCAGCTCACCTTCCTGCAGGAAATCTCTTCTCTCATTGTGGTCCTCATGTCAGTTTCTGATAACAATGAAGAAAATAGGAAGCTTGTTCGTGACCTCTACCAGTCACCAAAACCTTTGATCTTCTTGCTTGATGACAAAGAAGAAATCATGGACAAAAAGTCTGGTAAGAGAGTTGGAATTGGCATCAGGAACAGAAATGAGGCAGAATTAACGGAGAAGATCACAACTGCAATCAGGCATTTGTTAGAGTCCTCTGACATTTCCCTCAGCCTGGAAGACTGTTCCCTGATTGCTCGCCAGCAAGGATTCCTTATCGATGAAGACCAGAGAGACTGCAAAGAAGCCAAAGAAAAGGCACAGACTCTAATGGCCCTCCTGTCAGAAACAGAGTTATCTCACGTGAAGGAACATTTACTGCCCTTACAGGGACAACTGTGGCACCTGTGGTGTAGAAAGGACAAAGAGCTCTACCATCTGACAGAAAAGGGGAATCGGAGCATTGAGCAACACAAGAGTGACATTGAGACAGAGAAACAAGAGATACGGCAACAACAGTTGAGCAGAGCCTTTCCTCTCAATGATTTAATGAGATCTGTTCTTGAAATTCTTCAAGGAAATTCAGAAACTCACACCAAGCTCTACTTTTTACAGTGGCTGAGTGTGTTTTTGGATAATCTGACTACACAACACTTAGAACAATTGCGTGAGAAGCAAAGATCATTGTGGTCAAAGGTACAAGAGGAGAAGAAAAATATGCCAGAGAGCAGTTCTCTGAAAGACTGGCAAAGTCAGATAGAAGCCATTTCCTCAGAGATTGATAAGTGTACTCTTGGAGTTGAACACCTTCTCAGAGAAGCTGGCCAGATCTATGAAGCCTTGGAAGAATCATCCTCCAAAAAAGAGCTTCTCTTTCTTTCCCTTCCTGAAATTGCTGCAGATCTGATGATAGCTGGTGTTCCCATTGAACTGATGGATGGGGATGCCTCATATGTGCCTCTAAAGTGGGTCGCAGCTATTTTTGACAAGCTTGCTGAGAAACTTGGAGACAAAAAGCTGTTTGTTCTCTCTATCCTTGGCCTGCAGAGCTCAGGCAAGTCCACTCTGCTGAATACACTCTTTGGGCTGCAGTTCATGGTCAGTGCAGGCAGGTGTACCCGGGGGGCCTACATGCAGCTCCTGAAGGTGGAGGAGACATTCACAGGGGAACTTGGCTTTGACTTTGTGCTGGTTGTGGATACTGAAGGTCTCCGAGCCCCAGAACTCAGCAATAAATCCCAGAATAGAGACAATGAGTTGGCAACCTTTGTCATTGGACTTGGGAACTTGACTCTCATCAATATTTTTGGGGAGAACCCATCAGAGATGCAGGATATCCTACAGATAGTTGTCCAAGCCTTTCTGAGGATGAAACAGGTGAAAATCTCACCAAGTTGCATCTTTGTCCATCAGAATGTGGGGGAAGTTACTGCTGAAGACCAATTGATGGAAACACGTAGGAGACTAGAGCAGAGACTAGACGAAATGGCAAAATTAGCAGCAGAACAAGAACAGTGCTCAGACATCACCTGCTTCAGTGATGTCATTAAGTTTGATGTCAACACTCAAGTCTACTACTTTGCTCACCTCTGGGATGGCAATCCTCCAATGGCCCCTCCCAATCCTCGCTACAGCCTCAACGTGCAGGAACTGAAAAGAAAAATTCTTATGAGTGCCAAACAGGAATCCAAGGGAAGCATCATGAAGATATCAGATGTAAAATCCCGTGTTCAAGATTTGTGGAAAGCTCTGGTGAGTGAGAACTTTATTTTCAGTTTCAAGAACACCCAAGAGGTGGTGGCCATGAGCAAACTGGAAACCATGTACAACCAGTGGACCTGGGAACTGAGGAGTCATGTGCTGGAACTGCAGCTCCAGCTGACCAACCAGATTAAGAATGGGAAAATGCAGAGACTTAGCATAAGTACAATTGAGGCCCCAGTTACAGAAAAATATGAAGCTGTCAAGCAAGAATTTGAAAAATTTTTAAAAGAAGATAAAGATAGTGAAATATTGATTCAATGGAAAGCAAATTTTGAGCATAAACTCCTCATGCTTAAAGAGACACTTATTGCAGAATGCACAAGAAAAATCAATGAACTTATTAGTTTTAAAAAAAGTCAAGAAAGTCTGGATAAGAAAAAAACAGAATATGAAAGAGAATTACTGGAAAAGAGCAGGAAGTTGGCTTTATCTATAAAGAATAAAGAGTTAAGTGTGGAAGAACTACAGGAGAAATTTAGTCAACTTTGGACAAAATGGGTCTGTGATGTGTCCTCAAATATCCCTCAAGTCAAAGAGCCTGACATTGAGCTGGATTATGAAAGAACCCTTTTGGATTATTTCAAAAGTGATAATAACTATGTGGTGGAGGCACTGAAGAAAAGTTCCAGAGAGAAGTTTCAAATTGATTACCCCAGACATATCACAATGAGTAAGACATTTTACGTCTTCTCAAAGCACATAGAGGTCCGTGACGAAGAATCCATTAATGTTGCTACTAACCACATCTTTGCAAGATTTGAGGAAACTATTAACCACATTCGTTTGCAACAGCGTGATTACGATTCCAGTGATTTCCATAAAATCCTGAGAATAATAGAAGAGGAAGTGAAATCTGAACCCAAAAAAGAAAGATACTCATTTACAAACAAATATAAGATTGACATATCTTTGCATTTATTTAGAAAAGCCTCACAGCATTTTAAAGAAATGCATGCCTCATTCAAGAGAGCAAATGACCCTGTTAATTATTTGGAGTCTAAGAAAGATGATTTCTTCCTGAGTTTTAAAATCTCCTGCCAAGGAGCAACTTCTATCAAAACATTTGTTGATTTTCTATGGAACAAGCTCTCCCCAGCTGTGTCCACCACCATAAGGGAAAAAACAGTCCCTAAAATTGCTGGGGACATGAGAAGTTTGCCCTGAATTCAATGGAAACAGAGCTAACTTGGAGAAACACATTCTCATCTCTCTGGCAGAGGAAGAGAACTTTGAAAAGTACTGGCAATATATTCATGATCCAAAATCATTTTTCAAAAGTTACATTGAAACGCGAGTTAGAAAATACTGTTCAGGATCAGGAGCTGAAAATATACAGGATAGTTTAAAGCAAAGTTTAGATTATATCAAGAATGTCCTGCTCTCTGCTATTCATAAATCCACAGCAGAAGCTAAAGACAAAAGCAGCACTGCCTCTGAGTGGCTGGATTTGTTCTGTGATCACCTGGGGAGCAACCTCATCTTTCCACGAAGTGACTTGATAAGCATTGAACACCAGGAGATTTTAGACATGCAGTTTCTCAAGCAAGCCATGAGTGCAGATTTGGGTCCTGCAATGAAGATAGTTGAACAAAATTGTTTGCGTCAGCCTGTAGGTGAAATGGTTCTTGTGGTTGAAAAAATACTCTATGAACACCTGTGTGGCTGCTGGAAACAGTGTCCGTTCTGCAGAGCCATCTGCACAAACACAATTCCTGAACATGATGGAGACCACAGTGTTCCCTTCCACCGTCCTCAGGCAGTCAACGGCTGGCACTGGATAAAAACAGACAACTTTTCCATTGATTGTTGTAGTACCATGGTGGCCAGTGACTGCTCATTTATTTTACATGATGACCAGAGTTTCCCATACAAGAACTACCGACAGGCAGGAGGGGATTATGCCACGTGGAGCATCACTCCAGATTCATCCACCCAGCCCTATTGGAAGTGGTTTGTCTCTCACTTCAGATCAAATCTAGAAGAGAAATATGCGTTGAAATTTGCAGGTAAAGGTCAAATCCCTGATGCATGGGCCAGAATCACAAAGCAGCAAGTGCTTGATGACTTGAAACAACAGTAATATTCTTATGGTCACAAGAGTCCCAGCATCTATCTACCTGAAGAAACACAAAATTTGTCCTCATAGTGAGAAGTACACTCCTGCCATTTTCAAAATACATGCTGCAAAAAAAAGTCAATCTGTTCAAGAATTACAGATTTCCTTTGAAAGGATTTTATTTCTCTGTGCTTCAACTTCCTCTGATGTAAAGGAAACTGTAAAATACACAAACACGGAATAAAATCAGTATCATCCACTTCAACACCTATTCATGAAGCTAGCATAGTGGTATAGCAGGCTACGCTTTCAGGGTCTGCATCCCATTCGGATGCCAGTTAACATCTTGGTTGGTCCACTTCCATTTCAGTTCACTGCTTGACCTGGGAAAGCAGCAGAGGATGGCTTGAATCTTTGGGTCCATGCATCTATATGGTAGACCCAAAAAAATCTCCTGACCCCTAGTTTCAGATCAGCTCAGCTCTTGCCACTGCAGCATTTGGGGAGTGAAATAGTGGATAGAAGATCTCTCTTTCTATTTGTTTATCCTCTCTATAACTCTGTCTTTCAAATAAAATAAATAAATCTTTAGCAGCTTAAGGAAATTACACAGAACTGAAAGCATAAAATAGTACAATTGAGCCCACATTGTCTCCAAACATCTGTTATGTGCCCACCTTTGTCCTGGAGCTTACCCTTAATATAAGTAATGTTTTCCTTAAGAAATGGCTTGATAATATCTTGGAACAGATGGCAATCATGGAGGTACAAAGAGTTTGTTTACTGTGCAGCCTCAAACTGTTACAACACATGAAATGACACATTTTGGCTTCTCACCACAAAAGCAGAAAGCATGTGGGGCATCTTCTAAAGGGAGACAAATGTGAACCCTGATCCTTTTCACTGCCCTTTAACAAAAGAACAAAAAACAATTGAATCAGTACTAGGTGAAGGTGATGGTAATTAGTGTATGACTGATTATAAGATTTAATAAAGAATCTATGATATATGCCTTTATAAATTCCTTTCATTTATGAGCTTTCTTTTTAATTCTGTATTTTTGATATTTTAAGTAATATTAGTTTAGGTTTAGTGAAAATTGATTTTGGATATAAGTAAACCACCTGTCACTATGTAACCGCATGTGCTGCCAACCATGGAGTTCCTGGCTTCAGCCAGATGACTGCAGGTTTGAATGAGTAATAGCTTGCTGAAAATATTTTCTCTGAAGTAAAATAATAATAATAATGTCTTTAGGATTGTTTTTGTAATCATTCTTTCATAGTGATGTAAAAATGAAAAACTTGATGTTGTGTAAAAGCTTGTGATGATTTGCTTATAAATAAAGAGAGCAACTTTTCTGAGTTGTCCATTATGAGCTTCACACTACAGTGGCCCACGTCTCCTTTTCTTGTCTTCTCATCAATCCACAAATGCTTTGCAAGATCTTGAGTCAGCTGGAGCTGGTCTCCAGTCATTTTAATTGTATTTTTTTTATTTGATGATCTTTACATAGCTGATTAGGGCTATAAGGGTCAAGGGCTACAGAAAAAAGGGTAAGACCATTGTTTCCACATTCTCTTTTTTTCCTTCCTGTATCTGGGGAAGGGGAGAGACAAAGGGAGAAGTCACACCCACCCTCCCAACCATCCCAGGGTCCCCGATGTGGGGCATGCTCCGAGGGCACTGCTCAAGTGGTTTCGATAGTTCAACTGTTCTGAATTGCTGCCAATCTCGCCATTCCAAGCACGATGAAATCTTTTCAAAATCCACTAGCTGACATAGTCCATCCACCTTATCATCTCGTCTTGCTCAGATTTTCACTGCCAACACTTGGGTTGTTGATCAATTTGTTCTATACTCTGTTATGGTACCAGGTGTCCCCTGCAGGCTCCAATGTACTACCATATACTTCATGTGCACCTGGATATGCTGTCCACTGCTCTGTCTGAGCCATGAGGAGGCTCAGCTTTGACACAAGCACTCCACAGTCAGACCATGGAAACTACAATTCTCTTCATGGTTGGGGTTCTGAATTTGGCAGTTCAGTTGGTTATATCTCCAAAGAAACTTCATCTGAGGTGATCTCAGAGCAGATTCATGGCTGTGCTTGCCAGTGCAGGGTCCGGCACAGTCCATCGCCCCTATTAGCCTATGTATAAGCTGGTGGTTGCAATTGTTGGGTCAGTTCTACCTACAACCCCATCTTCTAAAGAAACCAATGGGTGTTTGGAGCCGATCCCAATTCTGCCCACCACACACTGGGCCCTGAAACCAGTGGAAGCTTCAACCTAGTTGGGGCGACTCACAATAACCCTCACCAGGCCTACCCTCTTCCCTGGTTCCCATGCTTGCCAGTATGTACAGCAGACTGGTCCAGTTTGTCCTATATCTCATTCAGTTCTCATACATGTCAATGGGCATTGAAGCCTAGTTCAACCCAACCAACCCCACTATCCAGCCCACACACATGCTGACAGGTGCCACTCTCTGTCTAGCCATGCCTGCCCCAGTCCTGGTTCTCATGCTCACCAGACGGAGTGGCAACCCAGGAGGGAAGTGCCCACTGTTTCCCTACTGGGCCCACTCCCGGATCATGCACTCTCCAGGTGGTTCTGCAGTTTAGCTTACTAGAATTAGTCCCACATGACAGCATCTGCTAGCTGATGTTGCAGCAGAACCCAACCCACCCACACCCACTCTGATCTATTCTTGAACCAATATGAACAGTCAACCCAGCCTCACTTTTCCCTGGTCCAGCTCACGTGAAGCCAATAATTGTTTTAGCCCTGCCAGGTCTACCCCCATCCCAACTCACACTCTCCAGTGGGAGTGGTGATCCATCAGAGAAGCCCTCCACATAGCTGTATCAGCTTTGGCCGCTTACCCTGGGGTCTTGCACATGCTGGTTGGGTGCCTCAGCTAGTTCTGGCATGGCCTGCCTCTCCTCAGCTTTTGCCAGTGGGTGCTCTACCTGGCCTGGAACAGCCTGTCCCCTTGCCCCTAGTCCAGTTGAGGTTGGTGGGGGCTACAGCCTAGCCCAGCCCAGTATGCACCCATTTCAAGCCCTCATTGTACTGGTATGTGTTGCAACCAAACCTGACCAAACCCACACTCCATTCTAGTGCTTGGATTTATCAGCAGGTGATGTAAACTGGCTCTGCCTGGTTTACCCCAGACCTGAGCCAAAAGTATGCCAGTGGGTAACCTTTCCTGGCCTGCTCTGGGCAGCTCCCTTTTATGATTCTTGCGCTTACCTGTGTGGACTGTGTCCTGAAAGAGGAGTTTCCCAAGTTCTTCATCAGAACCTCTCCCAGTGTCAGATCTCTCACCCATCAGTTAGTGTATGGGCCAGCCCTACTCAGTCCACCTCCTGACCTAGCAGGAACAATGGCCTTTCCTGACCAGCCTTCAACCCATTACGGTTATTACTGTTGGGTGTTACAGCCCAATCTAGCCTGGTCCACACACACAGCTCACACATGGCTCAGCGAGGACAGAGACCTAGCCTAGCCTGTCCTTTCACCTACCCTGGTTCTCATGAGCACCAGTGGGTGCTGGGGTATAATCCAGTTTGGGGCTATCAGCCCCAGTCCACAGTTGTGCCAAGGTATGCGGCATCCATGTCCAAACCAGAATGGAGCTTCCATTCCAGCCCTGTGCCTACCAATGGGAACCACAATCCAGCCAGGGCTTCCCCTTAGCTCCCCAGCTAGGCCTGAACCCAGCCACAGATCTCATGCATGACAGTGATTGCTCTGAACCAGCTTGGCATAGTCCCTCAACTGTCTTGGCTTTTGCCTTTGGATGCTGTTTCTTGGCTTGACCCTGCCTACCGCAAGTCTCACCACTAGCTGGCGGGTGATGGAACTTAGCTCTGATCAGCCTGCTCCCATCCTTGGCTCATGCAAACTGGTAGGTATGGCAGCCTAGTTGAGCTGACCTGTGCTCCAGCCTGGTTTCTGCACTTGCAGTGAGGTAAATTTGGCTCAGCCTTGCCAAGTCTGTCCACTTCCAGAACTAACCCACACACTTACCAACGGATGGAGCTACCTGGCACAGGCTTCCCAACCCCTAGTTCTAGACCATGTACTCACCAGCAGGAGCTATAATGCTGTAGGGAAGTTTCCCAAGTTCCCCCACTCAGCCCACTCCCAGACCCAGATCTCACATGTGCCAGCAGGTGCTAGACCCTTGCCCAGCATAGCCTGCCCCTCCATCTTGGCCTTTGTATGAGCTGGAGGATGTTGTGGCCCTGCCTGCCTCACACCCTGTTTTAGGATGCATGTGCGGATGCTGCAGCCTGGACCTACCCAGACCTTTCTCAGCCCCAGTACCTGTGAGGGTTGGTGGGTTCCATGATCACACCTAGTTCAGCACATCAGCATCCCAACTCTTAAGCTAACCAGCGGGATTTGTATTTCCACAGGGTTTGGTTTAATTGTCTATTATAGAATCTACCCTTGGGCCTGGTTCTCTTGCATGTTGGTTAGTGTCATGACCTTGCCTAATGTGACTCATCCCCTGTTCAGACACTCATTCAGGTACTGGGATCTAGCTCTGCCAGACAGGCCCCCAGCCATAGCTTTTGTGTGGGCTGGTGTGTGGCAGTCAGCAATGTTCTGTGCTAACAAGCCCATCTCAGAACTCCCATGTGGGCTGGTGAATCAGTCTGACCCAAACAGATCTTTCATTCTCTCCTCTCCAAACCACCAGGTCTCAGTCCCCTCACTTACCTATAAATAGAGTAGTTGGGGGGCACCATTTCCTTTCCAGCTCCCTGCCAAGTTATCTGGGAAGGCAGGGGAAGGTGGCCCAAGCAGTGAGCCCCACATGGGAGACCCCAGTGCTGGCTCCAACCTGGCCAGAACCTGAAAGTTCGGCAATTTGGGGAGTCAGTCAGCAGACACAAGATCCAGATCCCTTCAACACCCCGCCCCCAGCCCCACTGCCCCATGGCTCTGCCTTTCAAACACGTGAATAAATGCTATTATAAAGTTGATACTGAAAGAAACAATGTTATTGTACATTACTTCAATATATAAATGGGGTTTTTTTTAACTCTTCTTTCAAGAAATAGGCTAACAGAATTGAAACACTAACCCGTGATTTTGATTTTTAGGACTATGACTAAAAAACAAAAAACACTGAGCTGATTACCTCAACAACAGAAAAATCTTCACTATCTGCGTTTCTCTTCCGGGCATCCCGGTAATTCCCTTCGCCATTACTACTGAACACCAGGGTATTACCACACGCACGCAGGGCATCCTCCGGGCCGCCCGCCACAGCGCGAGCCTCGCAGGGGCCGCTCCCCTCAGACTCGCTCCGCTAGCAGGCTGCGTGAACGCCGCCGCGGGGTCTCCGCTCGCCCGCCAGGTGGCGCCTCGTGCCCGGCTGGCTGC